TTGGCCAGCAAATCTTCCACGCGCGTTGGGGGGTGTGCGGCCGCCTCGGCATGCGAGTGTGCGATTGGGCGGGCGGCGCGGGCTCGCGACGGCGGCGCGAGTGTGGCCAAAGGGAGGAGTGGTGCGATGTCAAACTGCAAGTCGTGGTGCTAGATGGCCTAGTCAAGGCTTGCGGGTTCCAATTGATGTTGGCCACGCAAGTGGATTGGGAGGGAGGAGCAACGCAAGTGTGGGCAAGTCAAGAAAAAAACAACAACTGACAAAATCGTGGGAGCCGCGCCAGCACCACCAGCGGCCGCAGGTCGCCGCGCGGCAACGCGGGGCCGCGGGCCGCAGGGGGTGGCGCCCTGCGGCTTGGCGTCGGGGCAGGCGCGGCTGCGACGGATCCTGGAGGCCTGAGTCACTCCTGCCTACGTGCAGCGCACCCGTCTATGGCGCCACTTCATGCCAAATCAGTCCGAGCGGTTGACGGCGTATCGCAGCCTCAACCGCTCGCGGCCCGGCCGCCGCCTGGCGGCGGGGGGCTCTGATGGGGTTCGAAAGACGCGGCACGGCAAAGCCATCCGCCGCGCCCGCCTGGCTAGCCATTTGAGGCAGGTGCATCGGTTCAAAATCGGGCAAGGCGCGGCTCGCCGACCGGGCCGCCGTCGCCGGTGTTGGGGGGACGCACGGGTCAAGGACTGCCGCGTTTCCGATGCATGCGGGGCTGTTGCCGCTCATTCATGGTGCAGCACACGCGGCCCGGGCGCAAGAATACAGCCCCGCGGGCGGGGCCCCTGCCGGGGCTGCTGCGCTGCTGCATCAGCAGAACTCTGGCGGGTGGCACTCTTGGCGGCCAGCGGCCGGCATCCGGCCCTCAGCCCTGCTGGGCGGCCGGCTGCGGCGAGTTCTGCGCCGCCAGCCGCTGTAGCGGCGCGTCCGGTCGGCCCAGGGGCTGCAGCCGCATGCCGCCGGCCACGGCGTCGCCCGCCGCCGCGCCCATCCCCTGCGGCTGCGGGCGTGGGTCCATCTGCTGCTGCTGCCGATGCTGCTGCTGCTGCTGCTGCGTGCCGCCGGCGGCGGCTCCCAGCTGGCCGACCAGCTGCTCAGTGGTGATGTCACAGCTGGCAGCCGAGCTCCAGCGGCTGATGGTGTCGCCGCCGCACTGCTGCTGCTGCTGCTGCTGCTGCTGCGCCGCCGCGGCCGCCGCCGCGCTGGGCCCAGCCGCCGAGTGCGCCGGCGCGCCCGCGCCGGGCGACAGGCCGGCGCTCGGCGGGCCGGCAGGCGAAGGGGCTGCAGGTGCGGGCGCAGGCGGCGGGGCCGCAGGGGCAGGCGCGGCGTCGTTGGTGGTGGTGCCGACACGCATGAGGGCTTGTTTGACGAGCTCTGCCAGGGATCCAGGAAGCATGCCCTGGATCTGATCTGGCGTTATCACGCCAGCCGAGACCAGGACCTGGTGCAGGAGATCCTGGGGATCATCTGCTTGCTGTTGCTGCTGCTGCTGCTGCTGCTGCTGCTGCTGCTGCAGCTGCTGCTGCTGTTGGGTGTGGCAGGTGCCAACCGGCTGCTCGAAATGCTGATGCGCAGGAGACGGCTGCAAAGGACGCACCGCCAGCACAGGCGCCTGCTGTTGCAGCTGCGGCTCGAGCGCCCCCAGCTGCCACTGCTGCTGTTGCTGCTGCATGCCGCCGCATGCCGGGCCGGCGCCAACAGCACCGATAGCCGCCGCCAGCTGCTGCATGTGCGAGACAGGCAAGCAGCTGGTCACAGATGGTTGGCTGTAGCAGGGCCCTGTGACCGGCAGCTGCGCGGCGGCCAACACCAGCTGCTGTGCCTGTGGCTGCCCCTGGTGTGCTTGCTGCTGCTGCTGCTGCTGCTGCTGCTGCTGCTGTTGCTGCTGCTGCTGCCCCTGCTGCGCTTGCTGCGGCTGCTGCTGCTGCTGCTGCTGCTGCTGCTGCTGGCGCCCCTGCTGCCAGACCTGCTGCCACACGGGCAGCGGCATGTGTGACTGCTGCTGGGGCAAGTGCTGCTGAGGCACCTGCTGCTGCTGCTGCTGCTGCTGCAGCAGCAGCGGCTGCTGCTGCTGCCAGGTCGCGGCGTGCTGAGGCTGTTCGGGCCACGCCACCTGGTAGACTGTCGTCCCAGCCATAGGGGACGATGAGCCGCCAGCCGCGTTTTGCACGCTCTGCATAAAAACGGTTGCCATGCGCTGCGGCTGTTGCACCCCAAGCTGCGTCGGCGTCAGCGGTGTGCCCGGCGTCGAGGGCTGCTGCTGCTGCTGCTGCTGCTGCTGGTGCTGCTGCTGCTGCTGCCAGGTCGTGACCACTGTGCCGGGCATGGTTAGCGCTCTCAACTGCTCTGCGCCGGGCAGCTGCTGCTGCCAGCCCTGCTGTGCGGGTGCCCACACCTGCTGCTGGGGCCCCGCGTGTGCGCTCTGCTGCCACGGGCACGCGTCAGGCTGCTGCTGCTGCTGCTGCTGCTGCTGCTGCTGCTGCTGCTGCTGCTGCGGGTGCATCAGCATCATCGCCTGCGGCGCCTGCTGCTGGTGACCCTGCGGCTGCGGCTGCGGCTGCGGCTGCGGCTGCGGCTGCGCCTGCGCCTGCTGCGTTTGCAGTGTCTGCACGACCCGTGCAAAAGAGGGGTTGAGCGCAAAGCTGCTGTACGCGCCCGTGGTTGGTGTGCCGCAGTATTCCCCAGCGCCCTCTGTCGTGAACCCGCTCGCCGCTGACATATAGACGTGCTGCTGGTGCTGGTGCGGCTGCTGCTGCTGCAGCGGCTGCGGCGCCGTGTGCGGCTGGTGGAGGCCCGCGGCCGCGCCGGTGGGCGCAAAGTGGGTGGTGGGCGCGGCGATGAACAGGTCTGGGGGCGCGGCGAGCACCTGCAGTCGTGCGTCGATGCGGGCGCCAGTGCCGGCGTCGTCACAGTCTTGGCTGCGAGGGGGTGGGTGTTCAGGAATGGGGGGCGGCGGTGTGAGGGCGTGCCGGGATGGGGTTGCTGCGGCCTGCCAGCGGCGCAGGGTCGCAACAATAGGTCCAGCCAGCGCAGCAGCATGCGATCAAAGAAGGGCAAGAAGCGTGTGCCGCAAGTCGCCTTTGCATTCCCCTTGCCATCAGCGGCCCCTCACCTGACCTCTCCCGCCTTGCGCTTGGCGCCCGCCGCCGCGCTGCCGCCGCCCGGGCGGCGCTGCGCGCCGCCCGGTGCGCGCGGGCGCGGGGTGCGGCGCTCGCCGGCCGTCAGAACAATTTCTGAGAGGTACTCCTCTATGGGATAGTTGGTCTTGGCTGCAGGGGTGCATCATGACGTCATGGGGGGCGTTGTGTGTGGACGCGTGGACGGGTAAGTGGAAAGGTGCGGTCGAAGTGTGGGGCGCGCGGACGGCCGGGCAGGGCGGCGCCGGAGAGAGGGCGGGCCAGGGTTGCGCGGCGAGCGGAGGAGAGGGGCCGGTGGCGGACTTGTGCTGTCGGGGCGCGTCCCGCCAGGTGCATGCTAAAGGGGGACGATACCACAGCACCCTGCCCCCCTTCCAAACGTCAACGCACGTGCGCGCACATACGCACACACATGCGCCCACATATATGCACACATTACATGCACACACGTGCGCCCGAAAAACACACACACACACACACACACACACACACACACACACACACATGCATGCGCGCACCCTCCTTTCCCACATACACACACAACATGTACATGATACACAAGACACACACATATGTGCGCGCACGCGGGTTGTCTCAGACAAGTGCGTGAGAACACACACCATTCACACTACACCGCACCACAGCACAAACAAACACACACTCACAACCAATCTCTCTCTCTCTCATACAAACACACACCGTTCATACACACACGCACGCACGCACGCACGCATGCACGCACACGCATGCTCACACATACCCTCCCACACTTGCAGGTTCGCCCGTATCCCCCTCCCAAAACACACACACACAATGCGTGCACAAGACAGACACACATATGCGTGCACATGCCCTTTTGCAGGCAATCATGCATGAACACACACACACACACACACACACACACACACACACACACGCTCGCACGCGCCCTCACCCAGCGTGCCGTGCAGCTCCACCACCTTCCGATCGTAGGCCACAGCCGCCTCGTCCGGGTTGTGGTAGTATCCCAGAAATATCTTCTTGTTCTTGTAGCCCACCTGGGCGCGCCAGCGGTGGTTCTTCCCGTCCCAGAAGACGCCCCTGGTGCGAGGGGGAGGGGGGGGGGTGACAACGGCGGCGCACGCATAAGGAAGGGTTTCAAGGAGGCGAGCGCGGCTCGCGGCGCGAGGTGGATGGGGCAGGTGGCGGGAGCGGGGGGTGGGCTAGGTGGAGAAGAGCAAGGGAGGGCTGCTAGAGGCTGGCGCGGCGCCCGGGTGGCGACAGGGCGCAGGTAGCGACGGTGCGGATGGGGACTTGCCCAGGCGCGGCTTGTGTAAGCTTCGCGTTGACAACAATACCAGCCAGCTAGTGCGCCGCTGGGACGTGCCCACCCATCCTCGCCGCACCTGTGGCGTGTCTTGCCCTCGGCGCCGTCCATCGCTGCGTCGTGCTGCTCTGCGTGCTGCTCGCTTAGGAACCGCAGCGCACTCGCGCGCTGCGCACGCCGTTTTGGCGGGGACCCCGCGGCTGGGGGGGCCTGCACATCGTGATCAATCGTATGCGACGTTTAGGAGAGGGCCTGATCGAAGGGACTGCGAGGACGGCCAGGAGGGCGGATCAGGCAATTGGCTGCAGCCATGCCCGCGGGCCCATCCACCGAGCATACCTGGTTGCTATTAGAATCCCTCGTCTCTGAAACCTCGTCTGCTTCCCCAAAGGGGTGGTCTACTTGGGTCGTGCTTGGTGCAGGGGGCCCGCTCAGGTGCAGGAGTCCTTGTGCTGCTACAAAACTCTCGTTCATACAGATATTATGTTGTGACATCATGTTGATGCCTCGGTGTCTCGATGGAGCGATGAAGCTAGGCGGGGTTGACCATGAAGAAACTGCGCGCCGCTTCCCACCAACGCGGCCTGCGCAAGGAGAAAGTGAGGGTTGAATTCATATAACTAAACTTTATAGCTTTTGATGCGCTGATAGAGCATCCTCCGCCGCGCATGCGCGCGTTTGGCTGAAAAACACGCAGAGAAAGTAGGGTTTGCAACTGACCTGAGCGGCGAAACACGCCCCAATATGTATTTTAAGGATAGCAAATAGCTTTCGCGCCCACTTCAGGGGCGTGTACTTCGCTTTCAGAGTGTTGCCTGCACTGTGCGAGTTCGGGAACCTGGCGGGCCAGCGCGGATGTAGTGGTCTGAGAAATTCTTGTACGAAAGAAATTACATGTTGGTGGATCGCAGGGCGCTGCAAAGCTAGAGTGCCAACGATTGCTCGCCAGGAGCGGGTGACCACGCTTGGCAACGTCGCCAGCGCGCCAGTCGCGTGGGGTGTAGCAGCTGCACCCAATTCATCCTAGGATTCAGAAGTTGCCATAAATAAGTTTCACACGATGTCACATCACAGGCATGGTCGGCAGCGCTGTAGGCATTCGCATGTGCTGGTGACAGTCCTCAGGGTGGAGCTTGCGAAAGGCTCTACAGAGGCCCCCAGCTGCACAACCCTCTCCAGCATTCTGGTGCCAAGTGGAATTTTTGCATGCAAGTGTATATCGTGCGGCTGATAAAGCTGGCCCTTGTTCAGCCCGGCCACGAACGGTTCCGTATTAAGCCACTGATGCTCCCAGCCAAACAGCACAAACTGCTTGTCTTCCCAAGCCAGGCTTGTTGACACAAAAGCAGTACATGGCGTAGATTCAAGCATCACAGGGAATGGGCACCAGCAGTATGAATGCACAGAGGAACATTGTACTGGTTCGGATGCATGAACAGTGAGGGCACAAGCAGTCCATGCAACATCAATGCACCAGGCCTGCTTGGTGGATTGCTGGCTGTGCTGTCATGAAATTGGCTAGTGATATCATCTCTACATGATGCTTGATCAATATGATGCACGAAAGCCACTCGTATCTCATCAGCTGGAAGGCGTTGCCAATGGGGCCGCCTGCGGACAGCACGACAGCAGTCCCGGCCATTGGCTCATCAAAATCTGCCCAGTGTCACCAATTGTGAACTAGAACAATTTTAATTGGTTGGTTAAGTAGCCGCTCTTAATGCATTCGCGAGCACGCGGCTCAGGGATTGAGAACGGAAAACTCACAAACCGTCGGGTAACCGAGCTTGACAGCACCGTACGAGATCCACATTACATTGAAGACAAATGAGCAAGATGATGAACCACGGAACACTCAATTGATGACAGCAACGCGGTGCCAGTGCCCCCCCACCTGCATCCCTTGCCTATGCACATGCACGCACACCTCCGTCCGTGTTGCGGAGTCACGTGTCCGTGCGCTAATACGTTCATGCAAGTTGAGGTATATCTTGATTCTGTATCTCAGGATTGCTTCGTTAGTTTGCATGTTACTACGGTCCGTGTGTGCAAGCATCCGAAACAGGCTTGATTTCAATCGCCTGTGTGCAGTAGGGTATGCAGCCACCCCATGCCGTCCATGAGCTGGGGTTGCCTATTGAGAGCCTTGATTTCTCAGCAGGTAGATTGTCTAATCGCTTGGCCGGCACGTGGCCTGTGGGACAAACAAGGGGTACGGTACGCGGCGGCGATCAGGTCGAGGTCAACAAGGTCAATCTGCCGGCTGCTGTGCGGGCGACTGCTGCTGCTTGTCAGCAAAGCCACCTACTGATCGCAATTCACCGCACTTTCTTATCGCGCAAGGAATGGCACGGGTGCTTTGAAATCAGCGGTCGGCGCTCGACGGCCATGTCACAGACTCGAGTGACGATGCTTCGCTGCAAGGACGGGTGTCTGCTGTGTGCGGGCTGCACGGTGAACGTGCCCCGACCTGTACCTGTGCTGTTGTAGTTTTGTTTTCGATGTATTCATAACCTCTGTAGACGCTGAAAGGAACCCTTGGCAAGCTGCTACAGCTCAAGCCCGATCATCGGAAGCCTGCGGAGCCAGCCAGTGTTAGCGATTAATATGTAGAGACGTAAATTTACGATCATGAATACGTCCCCTTCAGCAGCTGGAGCCTTGGTGGAAGCGCTGACCGCTGTACGTACGAGCAAGGACAAGCTATCAGCGCTGGAAGAAGCGAACCGTGTTCTAGAAGAGGCTCAGAAGCATGAGCGAGTGCTGCAAACGCTGCTCAGGTGGGAAGGCTACCATACCTGGAATGCGCGTGCACTCGGGACGCCGCTGCGCTCGTGCTGCACGCGCAGGGCAGCAGGCCCACCAGCGCCACATTACTGCTGCGGATGCCTCCTGAAGTGAAGTCAAACGCTCCTCCTTATTGCCAATCAAGTGATGACGACGGCCTGCGGGGCCTGTGCGATCTGGTCAACGAGTGCATCGATGCGGCCAGCGCGGCGGATTGGTGCAGCCGCCCGCAGCAGGTGCGCCGCGGCGCGCACCGTCCCGCTGCTGCTGTGGCCAAGCCCAGGTCCTCCTGTGGCAACCTCTAGCAACGGTCTCCATTCCCCATGCGCATGTCACGCGCATGCCTTGCGCATGATGAGGGCACGGCTTGCGCTCATGTCCAATTACCGTCTCGAACGCGTACCCTGTTCGCAGGGCGCCTACCCCGCCTTGCTGTCCAACGCGGTGGCCGTCATCTGCCGCGCGGCGGAGGCTGCCGCCGCCACAGCACGCGCGCCCCCTGCCGGCACCGGCGGCGGCGGCTGCGCCGGCAACGGCGGTTGCGCGGCCGCCGGGCGGGCCTCCGCCCTGATTGAGTCGCTGCTCCGAGTCGTGCGCGGCGCCGCATGCGCCGGCGCCTGGCGCGGCGGCGGCGGCGGCGACGCGCTGGCCGCGCTCGCGGCGTGGTCGGCGGCGGCACTGCGCCAGCTGGCCGATGCAGCTACCGACAACGCGTGCGGCGGCGCCGCCACGGGCGGCAACGCGAGCGGCGGCGGTGGCGGCGCCTGCGAGGCTTTCGGGCCCAGTGAGGAGGGGCAAGACGATGCGTCGAGCGGCGCCGCGGCAGGCGGTGACCTCGAGCGCTGGC